GCATTCCAGGAAGAGTCATAGTAGCATTTTCACTACACTTCAATAAAGAAAATACAAATACTGGAGAAATAGCTGGGTGGGGGGGAAAAAAAGGACAATTTATCACTTGTATAGAAATATGTTCTCTATATGGAAAGCTAACAGAGACTGAAAGGAATTTTAAGAGGCTACTGAATTTTACTATCTAATGACACAAAAATAAATAAAACTGCAGTCCCTGCCATCAATGAGATCATCTGGTTTGGGAGGGGTGGGTAGGGAGTTTATTTACAAATAATAAGTAGAGAAGAGAGAATCCTTCTTTGGGCAATTTTTTTTAATAGTGTATAACTTAGATCAGTGGTTCTCAACCTTCCTAATGCCACGACCCTTTAATACAGTTCCTTATGTTGTGGTGATCCCCAACCATAAAATTATTTTCGTTGCTACTTCATAACTGTAATTTTGCTACTGTTATGAATCATAATGTAAATATCTGATATGCAGGATGTATTTTCATTGTTACAAATTGAACATAAAGCATAGTGATCAATCACAAAAACAATATGTAATTATATATGTGTTTTCAGATGGTCTTAGGCAACCCCTGTGAAAGGATCGTTGGACCCCCAAAGGGGTTGCGACCCACAGGTTGAGAATCGCTGACTCAGATGGATTAACCTGGCCTTCAGGGTTGGCACCAGGACCATGTCAACGTCTGCCAACCAAAAATCTCTCTGATCTCCTAGGCACAATTTTCACAATGAGGGCTGTGGAACCTCTTATTCACATGAATGAAGCTGATATCCTTTTGAATGCCCTAAAAGCTGGTTGGAGTGAAGGCGCAAATTTAAACCAGAAGTAAAATTCTATAGGATTTATAAAAACACTCACAGTGATATGTTGTGCTGGGATGTCTTTCAAATGAGGCAGAAGAAATGTTTCACTATATGCTGAATGAAGAACTGCATTTCTACTTAGGAATAAAGGAAAATCTTATACCAATAAATAAAGCCTTTTCTACTAAAAGTATGAATAATTCCCTTTCCCAGTAATTTTTAAATATTTATATGGAAGTTTTACTTTTCTAGAAGAGTTCTACCACTGAACATCCTCCTAATCACTAGAGAGTGGTATTTACTCAGAATACCAACTTTAGAATTGAAGAGTATAGCTTCTGACATAAGAAAACACATTTAAGTAAGTTGTTTCAGCATAGCAATGAATGTAATCCATTTTCAAGCAGGAACTAAAAAAACCCCTGAAAAACAAACAAACAAACAACAATAACAACAAAACCCACCCTGGGTTTTTGGTCAGTTCATTAGTGTTGGCCCAATAGACCAAGGTTGCCAGTTTGGTCCCTGGTCAGGGCACATACAAGAATCAACCAATGAATACATAAATAAGTGGAACAACAAGTCGAGGTGTTTGTTTCTCTCTCCCCACCTCCTTAAAATCAATTTTTAAAAATCACTTTAAATTATCTAATCATTCCTTAGTTATTGCTTGGCATTTGACTATACCCCCCAAAAGAGACAATACAAAGAAAACTATTTCAAAGGATACAGGAGAGCTGCTCTTTTTGGTATTACAGGGCACGAAGTGGTCTCCTCTATTGTGTTCTGAGGCTTTTCACTTAACTCTTTATCACAGTTATCACAATTATCTTCTTCAGGATTGAAGCCATTTTGAAGAATTCCCGTTTGCTCTTCCATCTGCTCTTCTTGTACAGCATCACTGTAGTCAGAAACTGACTCCATATTAACATCTGTTTCTTGAAGACTGTCATCACCAATGCTATCATGTTAATTGAAAGAAATTAAGTCTTATCGCTCTTTGAACTTACTGGAAAATTTTTCATTTTCTAAGCATTCAGTTTTATAAATCAAACAACACAATAGATTAAAAATGCAGTGAAAGAAGGGGACCATTGGCTTATAACTTAC